TGCCCCTTCCATGGCACCCCACTGGCCACGCCGCCCCAACCTTGTTAGGGGTTTCCCCAGGAGCGCTTGGCTCATGGGCCTGAGTCTGCTGCAGGGTAGGGACGAGTGGGCACAGTGCACAGAGGGCTCACCTCAGATTGCAGGGTGGTACTTGGCTCAAGGTCACAGCAGGGGAGGCCACGCCTGGCCTGGACCCCAAAGCCCGGCTCTGCAGCCTGTGTTGTCCCCGGGCAGGAGGCAAAGCCCAGGGAAGCACCTGGGCTTGGAGCTGGCAAGGAGGTGCCCAGACTCGGAGGACACCTCGCACACCATCGTGTCCCACCATGGTGGTGTCCCGACCGGCGGCTGTGTGGACCCCCTGGCGTGCACACAGCCACCCAGTCTAGGTGGCAGCCTTTCCAGGTGATACTGGTTCTCCGATGCAAGGTCCCCATGCACCATTTCTGAATAAAAGGCACTTATTTGCATAAAACAAAAGTACCCCAAAGTGGGCGCGTACTGTGCCTGGTGGCGGAGCTTGGGGACCCCTGGTCGAAGCAGCCGGCCCAGATCCCAGGCCTGGCACTGGGGCTGAGGGCCCGGATGTGGCAGGAGTCACCCCAACCTCCTAGGGCAAAGCCAGGCCAGGGTTCTGCCCCCACAGACCTGTGCCTGGTCTCCTCAACGTCTGAGCGGGGGCCAGGCCGCAGAGCGGGGCCGCCCTCTGCCCTCTCTCCCCGGCACCAGGCTCTGTGTGCTTCCTCTCCTGCTGGGGTGGCCCTGGGTGTCAGAAATCAGGGAGCCCCACTCTGCAGGCCCCCAGCAGCAGCCTCATGGGCTGAGCCCAGAGCACTCTTGCCTTCCGGGCACTGCAAAGGCCCGGCTTGCAGACAGAGCCGGGGAGAGGACGTGGCTGGGCGAGGTGGTGCTGCGTGAGCTGCGCCCCCATTTGCCGCCTCTCCCCCCCTCCGCCCTAACCCCACACACGGATGTCAGTCTCTGGGAGCCTCAGGGAGGCCGAGCCAGCCTTGGCATGGGGTCATGTTGCTGCCTGGGGGCCTCAGCTACTGGGCCCAGGAGGATGTGCTCGTGTCTGCCGTGGGCTGGCCTCGGGGCGGAAGGGACAGAGGTGGGCCTGCCACGCCCTGTAGCAGGCAGGGAACCACCCCCCAACCTCGGGGAGGACCTAGAAGCCCCTCTCTGGGGAGACACCATCTCCTCCAGGCCACTCTCAGCCTCAGCTCTGGGAGCTCGCTCTGGGGGCCTGTGTGGGAGGAACCTGTGCTCAGTCTGGCCCGTGCGCCCCACGGGCTGCCCCGTGGCACCCAGCAGCCTGCTAGAGCAGGGGGGCAGGGCGAGAACACAGATCTGGGCGAATCCCGGCTCCGCTGCTCCCTGGGCCTCGGTTTCCAAGAGAGCCAATGCCCCGCGCATGAGAGGCGCCGGCTGTGTGCTCGGCGTTGGCCGCACAGCGCCCAGTGAGGGGCAGCAGGCTGCAGCCTGGCCTCCCTGCCGGGGGTCACAGGCTCCTCCCTGGGCGCCACGCGGGGCCCTCGGCCAGCTTCTTCCCGTGCTGGGTCCTTGATGAGCTCCTCCTCTCCCCCCCCCAGGGCCCCGCCCTGACGCTGCTGCTGGAGGACCAGCCCTGCTGGCTGACGTCGCTGCCACAGGCCCTGACCGAGGCCGAAGCCAACGCGGAGATCTACCGGAAGGGTTGGTATCCTGGCGCTTCCCTCGCGGCCTTCCGGCAGGTGGGGGCCGCTCAGCTGGCCCTGGGCTGGCCCTTAAAGGGAAAGCAGCCTGCCGGGCTGAGCAGAGTAGGAGAGCTAGGGCCGGGCCTCGGGGCACCCTGGGGTCTCGGGGGGCCGGGGCGCTGCTTCTCTTCCCGGGCCTCTGGGAGACCGCCGGGGTCAGCAGAGAATCCCGGGCCAGGTGGGCCAAGGTATATACACATATTCCAGTCCTATGTAGTCTGGCTCGTCCTGGGGAAGAGCAGGAGGGCCACGTTCAGACCCAGCCTCGTGGGGCCGGGCCACGTCCCCTGGCCTTCTTGGGCCTGCCTCCCCGCACCTTCTAGAAGGAGTGGCCCGGCAGTCCCCCTCCCCTATTGCTCAGAGAGCTCAAGGCGCTCAGACGTGAGGCGGGGGCTTCCATCGCCAAGGCCACGGTCCCGCCTGCCTGGGAGGTTTGACCCCTAAGCGAAGGCTGACACGGTCTTCTCGGTGTGACAACCAGCAGGTCAGGGCAGTGGAGATCCCCTCCGTCCCCAAGGGGATGATGTCAGCAGAGAATCGTGACAATTTCTACAGCCACACGAGGTCTGTCCAGCCAGCGTGGCCATCGGGAGGGTGTATGCCCAGCAACCACAGGAGAGGGCCTCATTCCCCAGTGGGGGGCTCTGTTTTGCTGGACTGTTCCGGGGGGTGCCACGGACACGTTGCCTCCCTGCGCACAGCACATTCAGCTGAATGCTCCCAGAGGAGGCAAAGCCCTGTCCTGCGGGCAGCTCTCATTTCAGGAGGGAGCCAGAGGCCATCAGGGGCAGGCCAGGTGGTATGTGCCCAGCCCAGTGGGCCTTGTGGGCAGCCCCTCCCTCCAGCTCTGTCCCCACATGGGAGCCTCCGTGGCATGATGGAGGTCCAGCGCAGGTGCTGAGCCCAGCGTCTGGGAACCTGGGCCACCCTTCACCCCTCTGTCCCCCTCCATGGGTGGGGGAGGACGCCAGCCCCCCACCCATCAAGGGGTGCTTGGAGGTGCCGTCAGCCCTGGGTTTGTACACCCAGCCAGCAAGCGGGCCAGTTAGTGCTGCTTGGCCCGCCCCGGTCAGCAGGGCTCCGGCCACTGTCCGCCAGGCAGGACAAGCTCCTCACAGAGCTGACGGGCGCGAGGTTGGCCTGGGGGGTGGGGGGCAGGGCTGCGCCTCGGTGTAGGGTTCCTGGTGGCCACAAGCAGGATGCAGGAGGTGAGCAGGCAGGTGCCTGGGTGGCTGGCAGAGGCTGCCCCCTGCTGGCTACCATGGGAACGGCGGCTCACAGTGGCGCTGAGAAGTGGGAGGGCCTGCCTGGCAGCTCCGGGCCGTGGCCCCGGGCTCTGCTGCCTGTCCCTCAGGCCACCCTTCTCCCGGGCAGCCATGCGGGCCATCTTCAGGGCCTTCCCACTAGGTGGGAGCGGGCAGGCCCGGGGAGCCAGCCAGTCACCCCCTGACCGGGGCCTGGGCTCCATCCCCCACCTCAGATTTCAGAACCCTGGTCTCCAAGAGGGGGCCGTGGGGAGGGGCTCGGGATGGTGGGGTGAGCCGCCCCTGGCCCTCCCGCCACTGAGGATTTTGCCCCCACAGATGAAGCCCTCTGGTGCAGACTCACCAAGCCGGTGCCCGCGGGCGGCCTGCTGAGCGTGCTGCTCACGACGGCCGAGCCCCGGGGCACCCCCAGCCACCCTGTGAAGGAGGAGCCGGCAGAGCCCGAGTGCCCGGCCCCTGCCGACATCCAGCTCCTGCCCCAGCAGGCCGGCATGGCGTCCATCCTGGCCACAGCGGTCATCAACAGTGAGTACACGATCCGTGCCACCTGGGCACCGTGGACCCACAAGGGTGGGTTACCATGGGGATCTGAGCAGAGCAGGCCGTGCTGCAGCCGATGAGTTGTGGCACGGGGCGGGCCCCAGGCCCCGCGCGCTCCCCCCACTAGCCGGGCCCGGCTGCAGCTTTCAAGCAGAGCGGGCTACATGCCCAAGGTGGGATGCTGAGCAGCAGCCTGGCTCCCACCCCGGCGGATGCCAGGGCCGTGTCTACACGTGTCACTAGACACGGCCGGGTGTCACCTGGGCTGAAAGAGCCCCGTCACTCACTCCCTGCTGGGGTGCTCTCAGAGTCAGGGTGTCGCTGCGAAGTCGGGTTCACTCTGCTGCACTCCCACCATCCACGCTGAACCGAGGGGTCTGGGGTCACCCAGCCTGTCGCGAGGGCACCGCTGAGGGGCACAGATAGCCTTCGGGGGGGGGGTGGCCTCGAGCACGGCGCATCTCATGATCATAGGATGGCAGTGGCCGACTTTATTGGGGGGGGGGGGGACCGGGGCTCAAGCCCAGCACGGTGTTCTCCCAAAGTGGTTCCAGGCAAGGGCTAGGATTTCCTCTCAGTGAAGGGTAGGATCCAACTGCAGGGCTGCGAACCAAACATGAGGAGGGCTGGAAGCACAGGCCGGGTGGGGGAACCTGCCCTGACCCCAGGTGGCTTTAGGACACCAAAGGGGAGCCCTGGAGGCGGCTGGGGGCCAGGCAGCACCTGCGGACCCATGTCAGGGGCATCAGCCGCAGGCAGGGGGCGGTGCACAACATCCTGGCTGTGGAGAGACCGTGTGTGTGGAGGGGACGTGGCTTGCGCTGCTGAAACTCAGGCAATCCTGGTTTGCATTTGTGGGCTGGTGGAAATGACGCGGGGAGAGGGACGAGCTACAGCCGCACATGTGAGATTCACCCCCCCCCCAGAGCCCTCCAGGGAGCGTGGGGCATTGGGGGCAGGACCCCGTCCAGACACTGAGGTTGTGGGGGGGACGGGGCTCTCTGGGGCCACTTGGTTGCCAGGAGCATCTGGTGCCCACAGTGCCCAACAGGGTCAGTCCAGTCCTCAGTGCTGAGGCGGGGGACGCTCGAGGTGCTGGGAGAGCTTTCTCCACTTGGGGGTGCACGCCTTACCCTGAAACAGCAGGACTGTTGCTACCGTGGGCTAGAAAAGCCTCAATACAGAGTCCGTCATACCTGGTTTAATTCTTGAGACTCAACCACTCTGGCCTCTGTTTTCTCACCTGTGCAATGGGGCTGTGGTCAGCCCTGGGGTAGGGGGACCACGACGGTCCTCACTAAACCTCAGGGCTGAGGCCACCCACAGCCAGCGGCACCATTCCCAGCCCTGGCCCCGCAGGCACAGAAACAAACCCACCAGGGGCCTTTCAGATTCCAATCCCAGCTCAGCGCCTCAGCTGATAGAGAACAGAGCTGCCCTGAGGACCCCCCCTCTGCCACAACTGTGGACCCAGGATAAACCTCAGAGACGCCGGGATGAGAATCGGGTCCTAAGCTGCACTAGAGCCCGGACACGTCCCAGAACAAGCCCTCCCCCTCCCCTGTCTTCATCCAAGGGGCAGGGGGCCGTGGAGCAGAGACAAACAGCATTCTGCAGCATCCTGCTACAAAGACCCTGAGAACCACCCGTCAGAGACCTTCACCAGCTGGGAACCCCTCTGCCGCCCCCGCAAGCTGAGCTCCTACAAACCGAAAAGTCCCAGGCCACCTGTCTTGAGATAAACGTGAATTAAGCAATGTTGGCCCATCCATACTTGATGTGAAAACACTGCGGGGAGGGCTAAGAGGAGAGACAGGGCGAGCTCCTCTTCCTCTGCAGCCCCCAGCCTCACCCCACCCGAGGCCGCCCAGAGCCACGCTCCACTCTCGTCCTCCTGCCCGCGTGCTTCAGGGGTTCCCTGTGCACCTGGCCGCCCAGACCTGCTCCCATGAACACACACGTTTCCTCCACAGGGGCCCAGGTTCACGCCATCCCTCAAGCCCCCTCACAGCACACGATCTCCGGCACATGGCCACCCCCAACATCGCAGACGCCCAGCCCCCCTCCCTCGGGTGCCTGTGGACATGGCCACAGCCCTGCCGCGGGCGCCCGCTGAGGCTCCGGCGTCCCCGGGGGGGCTCGCTGTTGGGAGGCAGCCTGGGGGGTTACTCAGAGACCCCATCCGTGCGATCCTGGGGCATCCTGGAGAGCTAGAGAAAGAGAACCCAGTGACCAGCAGTGACCAGGAGGGAAGGCCCCATTCACAAACCCCACTCCTCAGGAAGTCAGGGGCCGGCAGCGCCAAGCCCTCCGTTTCTGGAGGCTCCGTGCCTTGCCCTGAGTTGCGGGCGCCCCCCTCTCCCCCGCCCCACAGAAGACGTCTTCCCCTGCAAAGACTGTGGAATCTGGTACCGCAGCGAGAGAAACCTGCAAGCCCACCTGCTCTACTACTGCGCCAGCCGCCAGACCACCGGCTCCATGGCCGCCGCCGACGACAAGCCCAAGGAGACCTACCCCCACGAGCGTGTCTGCCCCTTTCCCCAGTGCCGCAAGAGCTGCCCCAGCGCCAGCTCCCTGGAGATCCACATGCGCAGCCACAGCGGTGAGCACCACGCCCCCTCCCCAGGACCCCCCGCCACGGTCTGCAACGCCGTGTGCATGCCCACCCAACAATGCATTTCTGCCCCATCTGGCCCCGGGTGCCCGCCCTGCCACATAGGCCTGTGTTATCCTCCTGGGGCACCTCACAGTGCTCCCGAGTACACGGCCCACCGGTGCTCATCAGAATGGTCAGCTGGGGCCAGGTCCTTGCCACAGTCCCAGGGGACAAGGGGCAGAGGAGGCAGGGTTCAAACAGAGCCCCCATGTCACAGGTCCTTGGCCAGCTGGGCTCCAGGAGCCCACCCCTCACTCAGCCCTGTGTTCCAGGAGAACGCCCCTTCGTATGTCTGATCTGCCTGTCGGCCTTTACCACCAAGGCCAACTGTGAGCGGCACCTGAAGGTGCACACAGACACTCTGAGCGGTAGGTGGGGGCTGGGAAGGGGATGGGGGGGCACCCCAGCCCAGGGCCCTGATACCACAGCCTGCCTGCAGGTGTCTGCCACAGCTGTGGCTTCATCTCCACCACAAGGGACATCCTCTACAGCCACCTGGTGACCAACCACATGGTCTGCCAGCCGGGCTCCAAGGCTGAGATCTACTCACCAGGGGCCGGGCACCCCACCGCCAAGCTCCCCCCAGGTGAGGCCCTGGGCTGGGAAGGGGTGGGGTTTGTCCTAACGGTGACCAGGAGTCCATTTCAATCTTGGCCCTCCGCCACCTCTGCCCAGTCCAGTTCTACCCTTCCCACCCTACCCCTCCTCAGGTCTGGCCCAGGTAGGTCCTGCTCCAGTCCTGAAGTGTGGCCCCTGGGGTCTGCCTGCAGACAGCCTGGCCGGCTTCCAGCAGCACACGGCCCTGCACGGCCCCCTGGCTTCTGCTGACCTGGGCCTGGCGCCCACCGCATCGCCAGGACTGGACAGGAAGGCCCTGGCAGAGACCACCAATGGAGAGGCCAGAGCCGCCCCCCAGAACGGGGGCAGCAACGAGCCCCCGGCAGCGCCCCGGGCCATCAAGACGGAGGCCACCACGGAGGAGCCCGAGGCGGAGCCAGGGCCCACGGCCGCATCGCGGTCACCCTCACCGCCCAGCCCCGCTCCGGCCAGGGTGAAGGCCGAGCTGTCCAGCCCCACGCCCGGCTCCAGCCCTGGCCCCGGCGAGCTGGGGCTGGCGGCCGGCGCGCTCTTCCTGCCGCAGTTCCCCGCCGCGCCCCCGGCCTCAGAGATCCTGGCCAAAATGTCCGAGCTCGTGCACAGCCGGCTGCAGGCGGGAGCGGGGGCGCAGGCCTGCCTCTTCACGGGGGCCCCCAAGGGCGCCACGTGCTTCGAGTGCGACATCACCTTCAACAACGTCAACAACTTCTACGTGCACAAGCGCCTCTACTGCTCCGGCCGCCGCCCGCCCGACGACGCGCCCCCCGCGCGCAGGGCCAAGGC